CTTTTTCTTTACCCATGCCGAAGAGACGTTTGTTGGTAATATATTTGTTGCTACAAATGCCATAAGAGAATGATCAAAATAAGGGCATATTTACACATTGATCAAGCCGCACACACATGAGTAACTGCTACTAAATGTAGCAGCGACTGCAACTTGAAGTGAAGAAACTTCTTTTTATAAAAAAAAAAAAAAGAAAAAGAAAAGAAAAAACACTACCGATCAGCAAAATTGGGCTTTCTCAAGGATCTAAGACTCACCTTAGAGTCTGGGTCGGAGCTGACATAGAAAATTCGCCAGGACCTTTCTCCACGGTGCTGAACCTCCGCTAATCCAATAGAAAAGCAAGTGGTACGTATAATTTCTCTGCTGAGTTCAACAAATCCGCAACTGCTTTGAAGTACACGAACACTGTCAATCACGCCAAGTATTGTTTTTAATTTTCAACAAAAAATGGCCAAACTTTGTTAAATCAACGTAAAAACACATTTATTCATAAAACTGAACGTGTTGGGTACTACACACATCTTCTTGTCCGGCTAAACTGTCCAGTCATTGACTCTTTGCAATTATGCGCGTTCCCGTGCCAGGGACATTTTACTCGGAATGGTGGGGAGGGGGGCAGCCGAGCACTTCGCTTTTAAATGTGTAGCATAACGAACAGATGCTGCTGAATTAGGAAAGAAACACAGGCCCCTCCCAGCAGCGCCACGTTGCCTGTGCAACCTGGCATGTGGTACCGCTGGCAGCGCGAGGCCTGCAAAGACACTATTTATACTGGTGCAGACAGTAAGCGACTTGGCACCGTTCCTCGGCCCGAGCCTGCCAGCGTGAGCCCCTGGAAAGCACGAACCTCGCTGCCGGACAGGGGAATATTTTGATAGATGTGCCTTCCCCTACTCCACTTGATTCCTCTACCTGATTTGCTTTGCCCGTTGTTCTCCTCGCTACAGCTGTCACGAAGTTTTATCCAGCCAATACACTTACATTTTTATCTTTGGAGGACGAAAGTTTGGATCCCTAGTTTGTAAGCATGTTGTCAGTATACGTCTCGTTTCACCCAGACGCCATGGCAACGGCCCAGTGACCCTGGTGAAGTGATATTGGCTGATTAAAAATGTGATTAATTTCTTCGTAGCATTATCGTTTATTTAACCTTGAAATAAAATTATTCCTTGTTCAATGTTTATGTTTCGTAAATTAGTTATGTAAAATTCTTGTTTTGTGTAAATAGTATGATTAAGGGCAGTAAATCACTTGACCACCCTTACTGCGAAATCTTTTTCTGAGTCCCTGCACATCATCGACATTTATTTAAAGACTATGCTGTACCAAACGCGGAACTGTCCCTTAATGTTATTCTAGAACTGTGAAATTGTTAATAAAATCATATTTACGGCGTTCATCTTTTATATGCACATGTTCATAGTGCAGCTATCCAACGTATGCTAGTATTTATATTATTCTTTGTATACCTCATAAAATGTTTATAAACCTTTGTGTATTGCTTTTAATAAACCCTATATTTTTATTTTATAAGTTCATCTTAAAACAATGTAGTGTTGTAGAGAAATGTTTTTACTTTGCAATGTAATCAAATTAAACAACAAAAGTACGTTTTCAGTTGCGTACATGCTTAAAATTATAGGTTTTATTTAAAGGTTTAGGTGACAATTTAAACAAAGTAATTTTTCATACACAAATAATGACGTATGTCTAAGGACAGAAACGCTACGTAAGTACCACGTGAAACGTTTGAGTTGCTGTTGTTTTCATATGTATCCCTAAAACATAATTTCATTGTATTTAGGTTTTTTTAACTTTCTGACAAGGGTTCATTTATACAATATGGATTTTTTCTCACTCTGTACTATTGTTCGGGATGATGCAGTCACTCCCCGTGTTTGTCACTCATAGCGCCCTACACAGTTTGAGGAGCATATGGGTCCCGGGGCAGCGCTCCAAACTCAATCGAGGAAGCGGCAGTTCATGGCGGGGCTCTGGGGAGCAATATGGCGTAACTGCTGGCTGCCGTACTGCAATGGCCTGTACGACACCCCGGAATTCAGAAATAAATTGATAGTTCGTTATGTGTACAGCTCCTATGTGTTCATGTATAATTTTTATCTGTAGTAACCACTGGAGGCCTAATGTTTCAAATGTAAAGCTCGTACAGGTAGCCCACTGATTGTGAAAGAGTAGTGTAGAATACTGAAGGTTACATTCCTAGCCGCAGTATTAAGACCCATAAACATGATTTATAATTTACGACTAATGTGCATTTAATGTGTTGCTTATTACGATTTTATATAGGCCTATACATATATATGTATGTATGTACCTATGTATGTATGTCTGTATATTTGTATGTATGTATTCATATATGGTTCAGTTCATCCTGCTTTTATGTTGATTTGTAGTCCTACTTCTTGCAGTCTAGTCATTCGTTTTAAAAATTTCCAGTATTTGGAAATCCAGTATTGACGCATATTAGCTCCACACCCCCAAGAGATATAATTCTCTTTCGATGAATCACTGTAAAAAAATATGCTTCTATTTTATGTGGACAAAAAGTGTTATATTTTTAAGCATAAAATATTTTAAGTATTGAATTGACGAAGTTTTTATATACATAACATCATCAGTCACTCTATACTACGATGTATAAAACTGGAAAATAACATATATCTATACACGTTGAATTAAATCTTCGTAAAGTCATTTAGGCTACACACGAATGATAATAATAAAAAACACTTAAGGATACGATTTATCGATATGGTAATGTTCATGTATAAACGACTGTTAAACATTTTCACGTCAGTTATGTCTCAAGAAAAAAAATGGAACAATTTATGATTTGATGTAATTTTATTATAAACAATACTCAGCATTCAGAAGCACACTTCTCTTAAACCTTCGAATTTTTGTAGTTTTGCATGAAAAAATAGAAATGCTGGTTAAATAAGAACTGTTGTTTAGTGCGACACAGTCAAACAAATAGCAGATATTGCAAATAAAAATTAGGCATATTCGCCTATTTACTTATAATATAGTCGTAAAATGTTATAACATTAAAAAAAAACAGTATTAAGAAAGAAACGCTATTGTTCCCGCATCAATGTTACATAGCATAGTATTAATAATAGTTGTATATTGCAATGTGCAGTATACACACATAACATTTTCTCTTTTACTTAAGTTAACATTTAAATAACAAATCATATCAAACTAAATTAAATGATTCAAAAACACATATATGTTTGGTTTAAGATGTATAGTACAACAACAACAACAATAATAATAATAATAATAATAATAATAATAATAATAATAATAATAATAATAATAATAACATTTAAGCCAGTGATATAATTTGAGCTCAATAGATACCCTAATGGACTTCTAAACACACATGTTTTGGTTGACGGGTACCTTTCATTTAGCAAAAGAAATTAAAATAAGATAAATTACTGACATCCAAGAGGCTTCAGTCTTGAATAATGTTATCGTCATGCTGTTTTCCAAATTATCTGTCGCTGGAGTTTATTCATTCATTCATTCATTCATTCATTCATCCATTTTTTTGTTTGTTTGTTTATGTGTGTATGTATGTATTTATGTATGCGTGTATGTGTGTATGCAAGTATACGTATGCATCTATGTATGTAAGAGATGTGGGTTTCTCCGAGCCTAAGTGTCTTCATATTTCGGCTTTTTTTTAGTTATTTAAGATTTCATTCATATTTACAATTGCAATTAAGTAATGTATAACAACGCTCGTGCCTTTATATCAATACAAATTTCAAGTCAAAATATTCTGGTAAGTTATCAAAGAAATGACACAGCCTTCTCTGCAACGCCATCCCGACAAAATGTTCTTCCACGACCACGGAGGCAAAAATTACTTCACTTTCGCAATTTCAGGACATACATTTTCTAGCAAATTCATGTGTAAAAGACCGTTTACATTTTCAAAAAGTCCCATCGGATCGTTGGCAGTGAGAAATTGCACATTCTAGGTGTATGTTAGTTTACCCTCTTGAAATACAAAGGGGCCTGTTTATGAAATTCTGGCCCGGCCCGTGCTATGTAGCAATTCAACGAGCCCCTAAAATAGACTGAACGTAACTTTTCGAGAAAGCATCGCGAAATGGGGTCATTTTACAGTCACCCAAACACTTTTGTTCTTTCGGGATTTCGCCGTCACAGCACGATTACTTATAATGCATAAACAGCGAGGTAATGAAATTTCTTGTTATGTTGTATGGAATCGTTGAGGATCACAGTCTTAACAAAGGTGTAAATGAATGCAGCAAGAATGAAAAATACCCCCATCGTTTTTCTGTTTCGATTTTTGGCTTGGGGTGCCCTTCCTCACGACGTAGACAGGGGACTAATTCTTTGAGCACTATCCTTCACAAAAACAAGAATAATGCAAAATTGTGACAATGCTGATGGTGTTGATGATGATGATGATGATAATGGCAATGAAGATGACGGCAACAATGATTATAATTATAATGTTAGTCTGCTGTTTCCAATTGCATTATTGGAAATATTTATTAGTTTCTAATAGTTTTGCTGAAAAAAAAGTTTGCTATTCGAACATTGAAAATTATTTAGCCATTTATCTTACTTTTCTAAACGTTTGTAATGAAAATAAAATTCCGTGGTAATATAGGCCTAAGTGAATCACAGAATCATAGTTTCATCAAAAGTATGTATCACTAACGATTTAAATATATATATATATATGTATATATATATGTGTGTGTATATATATATATATATATATATATATATATATATATATAGGGAAGACTTATCTGGCGTTTCTGTAACTACGATTCTTTTTGCAAACTTCTTAAATTTATGCTCTATTATTTTTCAGCCACTCTCTCTGTTTTTGTGTGCGTGGTGTCGCTAATATGTGTAAGACTACAGGTGTGGGGAAGGAATTATTATTATCTATCGACAATAAATTACATGTTTTGTGCAGATTGTTGACGAGATATGCATTTTAATTCCCATCGAATATCCGTAAGAAAGGACATTTTACGAAGTAGATTTTTACACGGGCTTAAATTTAAACAGCATTCCGAAACAAAATCATTAGGTAGTATCAGAAAATGTGAAGTCATTTTCTTACATTTTAGAGGAACAAAATTATGAAACATTCTTTTAGCAAGTTTGTATGCCTGTCATAGCACCGATACAATTTTTCTGATCAACAAATTATATGAAACTAAGAATATCGGGCATTATTTTGAATATAATAATAATAATAATAATAATAATAATAATTCAGTTAGCACTGAGAAATGTGAAATGTTTGGGTAATTACTTTGACCTGATTTACTTTATTCATCTCTTGATGGTGGGTATGGAAATTTCAACTAAAGTAAATAAAAATAGTAAAGATACAGACTGCACATTATCATGTATTGATTGACTCAATGTATGTATTGATTAACTCCAGAACCCAGGAGATATGACCTGTGACATTTCACAGCTTATTCTTTTCAATTTGTGGAAAGTATACATGTAGGTGATCAGCAGCATCTGTGATTCTGTGATGTATTTTTTTCCCATATTCTGTCAGTAGTATAATTATGAGTAAAATGCCTTGCCTTAGATGTTGAGTCCTTAGGTGGATTCCAGCAACTTGCTATTATGTATCTTGTGCCAAGGTCAATAATGTTTTCTTGCTTTTTCAAGGCAAATTGTCAATTCCATAATTCAAATTCTCAAATTCAAAAAGTCTCAATTATATATACACAACCAAATATTAAATGTCTGGTATTTGATTACTTCTCTTCATATGTATGCAGATTTTAAAATAACTTCTTTTTTCTAATATCCCAAACTGAACACTACATGACAGCTCAGGATTGTCACAGCTAAAAACAAAATAAATGAAACCATACATCACATCCCCAAACAAACAATAAATAAATAAAATATGCAAAGACCAAGGGTGAAACATGGTTACAGTTCTTTTAAAACATGAGTTTAATGGTTCAGTTGTTCACATAATAGGGAATGGGGTCCGCTACTCAGTTGTGGAAAAAGGCATTCAGTTCTTCATAGACAGGTGCCCTTTCATGGTGCAAGTGCATGTCGTGATAAGGCAGTACGTTTTCAGAATGGACGCCGGTGCGCAATCCTGAAGAGCTGAACACGAAATTGTGGGCAGTGGCAGGTCGCGAAGTAGGAAGGGCTGAATAATGCATAGAATAGTGATAACTCTTCTCTGCATCGGGTGAGGTTGACTCCTGTTGTTTTAAAGAAAAATTTCCGTTGATGCATATTGGTGGGCTGAGGGGTCCTTCATAATCTGGACTGTTGTACTCTGGAGATCCGCTCCCAGTGTAGCCCGGGTCGTACACTGAACAGTACACATGATTTCTTAAAGAATGTGGGTTTGAGCCAGATTGACACTGGGGGCTTGAGAGACGAGAGCACTGGTAAGCATAGGGGTGCATGGAGATTGAGGAGTTGGGTCCATGGAAGCGCCCCCCTTCCTGGCAGTGCTCAGTTAAGAAATTCCGGGAGTTAAGCTGCAGACAACCAGCTACTAGATTTGTAGTAGGTTGGGAAAGGCCTTTGCACAGAGTCTGAACATAGGATACCACATCTGGTCTTTTACCATTGCGAAGGATTTCAGACAGGGCCCAGATGTAATTCTTTGCTAGCCGGAGGGTCTCTATCTTGGAAAGTTTTTGCGTTTTGGAATAACACGGCACCACTTTGCGCAGGTTGTCTAATGCTGAGTTCAAGTCATGCATGCGTGTTCTTTCTCGTGCATTGGCTTTTTGACGGCGCACCTTAGAGCGCTGCATGTGCGCTTTGGTCATCTTATGCTTTTTCGGGCCCCGTTTTTTTGGTCTATCTCCTTCAATCTCATCTCCCCCATCTTCCTCTTCAACTTCTTCATCTTCCTCATCCTCCACAGCTATTTCAGACTGTGCACGACTGCTCCCTCCTCTAATGTCCCCATCCTCCAAATCGTCCAAGCCCAAATGACAGTGTTCCTGGTCATCATCTTTGGTCTTGGAGTCTTCACTGCCGCTATCATCCACCCATCCTGAGAATTTATGAACTTCAGGCAGCAGAGAAGGGTCACTGAATAACCTTGTCAACATGGTGGCACTAGAAGACATAGAATGCATTGTCATAAAAAGGAAATATTAGCTTATTTTGTAGCTAAATTTGCAGTTTAAATATTGAATCTCTTCTGAAATATACACAGTATTATGGATACATGACATAGCCTACGTGATGTCTGTTGGAAATGGTTGTAAAAACTATTTTTCAGTCTGACATATAGAGTGATACAAAACCAACTGATATTTATTTAAAGCACAATTCAAGGGTGACGTTAGTCATGTAGCTAGGCGTATACTAAGGAAACAAAATAGAGTATAATAAAGCTTGAATCAGAGAAGGAAAAGAAACGGGAATAAACAATATACTACAATATAAGGCATTCATTAAAATATGGCTATGCAAGAATTAAATGATTAAATATAATAAGAACAACTGTCTTAGAGCACAATTGCTAGAGATATAGTCAGGCAGATCGTCTCTTTAATTCCCTGTTGTCCGCCACGTCCTCTCCGGTGCCCTTGCGCAGCTGCACGAGCCCCATTAGCGATCTCGAGGGGCGCCGTGTGAAGCGGGGCGTCCCCAACCCCTTCACTCCTTCTTTCTGTCTTGGCAACATTCCAACACAGCTCGAGAAAATGCGTCATATACCATACCTCTTCTCATCCTCACAATCTTTTGACGTGCGGTTTATATTTACATTGTGTTACGAAATCTATGTGATGTATTTAGAGCTTTGGGTCTAGTTGGAATATTCGTACGCACACAAAAGGTAGATTTTACTTTTTGGTAAGCAAGTTTCATTAACTTTTTGCATAATAATACGCAAGTGTTGTAGCCCCCAGACTACTGTTGATGTTATTAAAGAAAATCACAGGTGATATCTCAGGGGTTCTTAGGCCACCAAGCTGGTCCTATGGAGGATTCAATTCGACTTATGAGTGCACAATATAAAGCCTAGCATTTCTCAAGCATAACATTTCTCCAGTCCTGCAAAGAGCGGATCCATACATTTAAATTAGTTATTGCTTATCAAAAACATATCTTTTGATTATATGATCAGGAAAAGCTCGTTTTGTAACATATGTGCGTCTATCAATCAATTCCTTCACAGGACCGATTTCAAATATTCTAAACAGAAGCAAGTAATGGACGTTTAAACCATATTTAAATATGATTTTATATGATCATTAATTTGTACAAATATTACTTGCGAATCCAGGGTACTAATTCAATAAGTCCTTATGTTACATTAAATAATAAAAGAAAACGAAAATGAATGATTTTTAAATTTATCTTTAATTTTATTATATTTTATTTATTTGTTTGTTTTTGTTTATATATTTCTCTGTGGAATTGGTATTGGAACTCTATTTTTATGGGAAATCTTTCATTATCCACTCATTCTGAACTCACTACATCAAAAAAAAAAAAAAACTAAACAAACAAAAATAATAATAATAAATTAGGACCCTAATTTAAATGTTTTTATATCGGTGCTTACGACTATCAAGATATTTGGTAATGACTTTATTCCAATATTCCAAGGTGCTATTTACACCGTAGCATCAGCTTCTTTAAACGGTCTAATATGAGGATATACTATGGATGATAATGATGATGATGATGTGTGTGTGTGTGTGTGTGCGTGCGTGTGTGTGTGTGTGTGTGTGTGTGTGTGTGTGTGTGTGTGTGTGTAAAATGAGGTACTATTTTAAAATAGATGCTAAGACAGTAATGCGTGCTACTTAATTTTGTATTTCTAAAATTCTTACTAAGTACACGGCGGTGCATGGCTCCTGGCCATTCTGTAGGCGAAGGCTCAGATTAGTGTATTAACGTTCGATACATCTGCAAAATTAAATCAAACTACTTCAGGATCCTTGCAACCGTACTCGTATTTCAGGCCGAAATTTCGGGAATTTTATCATTTGATCCGCTTCAAATTTATATACAACAAAGATCCGGTCGCATAAATTAGGCTAAATGATTTGAAGAATGCAGTAGGATATAATTTGGTTTTAAATATACTGGAGCATATATCACAAAACATAAAACGAACAATCACTTTTATAATAAAGATATATTAATAATCCTGTAATTATATACCCCCGGGTGAACAGTCCGTAACTGCTTAAAACACCCCTCATGATACTCTAGACCTCCTCAGTTTTTCCAGGATGAACCTTTAGATAATGTTGTCAATAAGACTGAATTCTTAACCGGAGATGAGAGGTTCCGGGGTAAAAAGCAAAAGAAAAAGTGAAAGATTCTTTTCTATACTCATTCTGTCATACTCCAATTTCAACCAAATAATGTTGCTCGTGCGTTAAAAGCGCCGCCAAAGAAACGCTTGCCGAGGAATAATTTCCGTGTTTGGAAAAGACTAAATTAGAAACCCAAATAAAAGGCAACCATGTCCGTGTATTCCGCAACACTGTGGAATTGGTCCGTATGGCAGTTCTCCGAGCCAAGAAAGCATGACATACTGAATTGTACGCCTATTAAGACAGACAAATCGAGACATGCCAATGGTATCTTCTCCACAAAATTGCAAAAAGAAAGAAAGGCGAAACCTATGTGAAAGTAATGAAAGACAATGCTCAATGAAGGGTGCAGAAACATTGGAAATAAAGTAGTGCACGCAGAGATAAAAATGGGAAGAACAAGCCTAAAAGGACATATGCATTATTTATGCATTTTAATTAATTAATTAATTTCCCAGTCGTTCATTCGGTCCTCGATATGTTTAATTCGTACTTCTACTTACCTCCGCGGGAGCTCTTTTAAGGGTGAAAGCGCGTGTGTTTACACCATCTTTAGGGACCACGGGAGAACTCTCCTATAGGTGCGGTTATCTGCTTCGGAGTGCTATCCGAGACAGTGTGGCATCGCTACCAGGCAGGGTTACATACCAGCCATGATGCCAGGCCATATGGTTGGCACGTCACTGGTAAGAGCCATCACATGAGGGTCGGTGATTGACATGCGCCCGCATTCGGAGAGATTGCCCTCCCGAGGGAAGAGAGACTCGCCATCTGTCACTCTGCTCGCGCTCACGAATCCAAAAAGAGAGGCAGAGAAAGAGTTTAACAGAGAAATTTAGAAAGGGAAACATCCAAAAAAAGGCTGATTTACCCCAAGATTGCAACAAAAATGGTTAGTCCATACGGATTTTTTTTTTTTTGTGTGTGTGTGTGTGTGTGTGTGTGTGTGCGTGTGTGTGTGTGTGTGTGTGTGTGTACATATCCAATAGCAGGTCGGAAAAAATGGAAAAGCATACAGCAAGCGAAAACGGTTCTGTGTTGTTCATGGAATCAGAACATATACAATGTTTGGAAAATAAATTGTTTTTTGGTCTTGTAAAAGAAGCCACACTCTACTGAAGCATGACTGAAGTCAAGAAAAATGCATGAATTGACATTTAAACAGACTGATCCGTTCGCAATGTGCTAAGCAGACAAATGTAAATCCCAGGCATATAAACAGAGCAATGAATGAGACACAGGCTCTATGTGTTTTGAGAGTAATGCTGGGGGTGCCTACAGGGGCTGCCAGGCTGCCAGCACAGCAAGGATGGGGGGACCCAGGTGTGCTGGCTCAGGGTCCTGGTGACACATGAAGACGCGGGGACAGCATGAGCTGGTGGTTCCAGAACTCTGAGCATCCAATAGGCAGGGGTGACATGCCTACAAACAACATAGGCAACATGTCACAAGCTAGCTCTTTCTCATATTATTCAACTCCAGGTACCATTTCCCCAATTATAGCTTGTTATTGTTCCCGGGATAAAGGCCATGGCAATAACAAGACTTTCAACGAGTAATTAAAATGATACAGAAAAGCACTAAGATCTATGGTGCTAATTACTAGCCAATCAGAGCGCTGCTGAGAAATATCACCACTAACCTGAAGCATAATGATATTACATCCCCGTTGATGGCTAAGTTGTAACAAATGTGTCAATGCATTGCCACCTATGAGCTATAGAACAAACAGCAGTCACAGCAGCGATCTTATGGTAGCCTTATAGAAGGCATATTTGGTGCCATTCCAAGGGGAGAGGTACTCCTCAAGGGTGTAGTTTTTGTTTCAACATTGATGGAGACCACTAAGCACACACAGTGCTCCCACAATGTTACCCCTAAATCGATGCCCTTGTCTGGTGGCAGTGTGCTCCTTTCCATGGTGCAATTTGAAGTTGCAGTCAAGTTCCTAGGTTCCCATTAGCTAAATGCCTCAGCAATGTATCGTAGATGATTTTCAACAAGTTCTGGTCATCGTTATTGAATTGCCTATTGAAATTCCAGAGAAAACAAGCCCAGATTTATAGATGCTTAACTTTCCATGCAGAGCTGAAATGGTGATTCTGCAATCAAATCAAATGTAAATAGGTTTTTGTGAAAAGAAATAATCTTTTGGGGCCTGTGTGGACTAGCATGGGGGCTCTCTAGTGGTTCAGCTAGAGGAAGGGCTTCCCAGACACTTGGGGAAATGAGACACTGAAGGGTAAAAAGAAATGTTAGGACACAGTCTGTCACGTTAGTTCTGTATTTAAGTCATAAACAAAACAGGCACGGATTTGTGTAAATCACAGTTATAAGCAAAATCCAAGAATGTTCAACTGAGTTGATTATTCCATCCATCCATCCATCCATTCATCCATCATCTGCCGTTTGTCCGGGGTTCGGGTCGCGGGGGCAGCAACTTCAGGAGAGGCACCCAGACCTCCCTCTCCCCAGCTATCTCTACCAGCTCCTCGGGGAGGACACCGAGGCGTTCCCAGGCTAGCCGAGAGATATAATCCCTCCAGCGAGTCCTGGGTCTGCCCCGGGACCTCCTCCCTGTAGGACATGCACAGAAAACCTCTCCAGGTAGCCGCCCAGGAGGCATCCGCACCAGATGTCCAAACCACCTCAACTGGCTACTTTCGACGTGAAGAAGCAGCGGTTCTACTCTGAGGCCCTCCCGGATATCCGAACATCTCACCCTATTCCTAAGGGAGAGCCCAGACACCCTGCGGAGAGACCTCATTTCAGCCGCCTGTATTCGCGATCTCATTCTTTCGGTCATTACCCATAGCTCATGACCATAGGTGAGGGTAGGGAC